TGGACTGCATCATCTCAATCCATAAGTCAAAATAAACTTCTCTTTAAGTCACTTCATGTTCAGGATTTGGTCACAGTGTTAAGAAGAGTAACTAAAAGACGCCCCACATCCTAATGGTACCACCATCTACTAACGGTGCTATGGGCTAGTGAACAAACATACATAAATATCTTGGGGGATGCATTTCCATCTATACCAGAATGCATATGATGGTTTCAAAAAGAATGGAAGATATGGTTCAGTAAATCCAAATCTAACTCCTTATTCTTCAATTTCTCAGATTGAGTTTAGCTTGTTTCTAGAAAAAAGAGGAGATGCAGTTTAAATGACAATGTTGGAGCTTCAAATTGGTCATTCCCAAGTGTGAGTGTTTATGGGTTCTGCCCCAGATAATGTTAATGGTCAGGAAAGGATGATTTAATAGCACACAATTGAAGTCAATGATTGGAGAAAAATAGACTAGTCTCAGTGAATTGAAATTGCTCAATAAATACACAGAAGAATGGCAGGCAGGGTGGCTGGCTGGGGAAAATGAGGGACAGGAAAATTGGGAATGTTTTTCAGATTCCTGTCTTAGAATTCTGCTCTACTGGAAAAGCCATGGTACAGTTAGAATGTGTGGAATGGTATGGTAACAAGTTAATAAGTGAGGGTTTTTAGGCCCTTAAAGAAGACTATCTTTGTTATCACAGAGACTTCAGTCCTTGTCAATACTTTGTTTCACTCAAAGTGAGGAAGTTGGAAACATGGATGGCGATTTGATGGTTTCTTCATTGGTAAAATGTATGTGTTCTGATGTATTACACATTGGTCATCTAGATCAAGTACTGGAATAAAATACTCCACAGTGAGAAAAAGAAAGGGAAGAGAACCAAGAATGATTTGTTTAAACATAAGTCTCACACTTCTATCAATTAGAAACACTGAGTGGGTAAGAAACACTTACAGTACCTTCCCCTGTCATTTTGCATGTGAGAATGAGTGTGTATGTAGTGTGTGCATGTGTATGTGTGCACATGCTTGTGAAGGCCCAAGGATAATATTCCCAGGTCTTCCTTGATCACTCTCTATCTTATTCTTCAAGGAAGGTCTCTTGATTGAACCCAGGGCTCGCCCATATGGCTCGTTTAGTTAGCTAGCTTGCTATGGGCATCCCTGTAATCTTCTTCTAAGTCTTGAATTGCAGGTGGGCCACCATGCCTACCCAAAATTTACTAAGGTTCTAGAAATCAAAACTCTAATCCTCAGCCTTGCTGTTCACACAGGAAGAGCTTTAAAATTTCTGAGCTATCTCCCCAGAATCCTCTTCCCGCTTATGGGTCATCCCTTTGCTTTGATTTCTCCTGATACAAGAGATTATAAGCCTCTATGGTCCCAAGTTTATTACGTGAATAACAAATCTTCCCAAACAACTTTCACAGCATAACAGAGACATGGAAGACATGCGTGGTTCACAGTTCAGTGCACTGAAAACACTATCTCCTTATCATGCATGTGAGAGTCTCAGAGAAATTACAATTGCATTATGGAAGAAAGTCTCCTCATATTATTTAGGGCTTCAGTCTAAATTTCGCTTATCCAAAGAAATGAAATACAATCAGGCTATCCTATAAGAGCAGGCACTATTTTTCTGTGAAGGGCCTAATAGAAAGTAGTTTAGGCTTTGTGTGCCACACGATGTCTGTTCATCTCAGCTAGGGAAAAAGCATCCTTAGATAATATGTAAATGAATGAGTATGGCCACTTTTACAGTAAAACTATATTTACAGAATCTGAAATTTGAATTTCATATGATTTTTATGTGCCATGAAATATTCTTCACTTTTCTTTATTCCATCCTCTAAAATGTTTTATTTTAAAGAAAGAAGACACACTGCTATCTCACAGGTTTTGTGAAATTATGTGGCAGTTTGAATTTGGACTTGAAGCTGTTGCCTACCATCTTGTATTCTTAATTGGTTCATTTATTGTTTTACATATAAGTCAGATAGGGTTTACAGTTATGCCATTTTTCCTTGATAGTGCATTAAACAATGAGAAAAAAAAACTTTCTTGGGGTGAAAAAAAAGCTTTCTAAATGCCCGAGGTAAGATTGCTAGGAAGCGATCACACTTTTAGATAGCTTTTTCTCCATCTCTGTCCTACAGCTAGCAATCCAGTCACAGCCAACCCAAACACAGATACATTATGTCTTCTATCCTTCTGCAAGCACAGGAATCAATAGGACTAATCACACAGGTATGTACCCAGAGGAAAACAGAATGGGACTTCTGTCATTAGACATAACGATAGCCCTCCAGGACACAAGCTGATAGAAAGCTCAGCTGGATGAGGCATGTGATGGCACCCACATGCATCCCAAGATATAAGCTATCTGAAATGGCCTCAACCCAGAGGCTCTAAAAATAGTCTTTCCATAGTTCTGCCTTTCTGATCCACAGAAAGATTTGAATCATTTATTCCCAGGTCAGGCCTTATTCCTGATGCAGGGTGAATGTGACACAAGTTTCAGCGCCTGTTCCCATGGAAGAATGCTTTTTGGAGATTTGGATACCCTGTGAGTGCAAGTATGAATTATCCGTCTGGTTGAAAGGTGTCATTATATTTGGTCCAGACTAATGAAGAATGATATAGTCCTTTGAGACTATTGTAGAAAATATTTTAGACAGAGTAATTTATAAATAATAGAAGTTTGTTGCTCATGGGTATGTAGCTTCAGAAGTCTAACAGGAAGGCAACAATAAATTCATAATCTGGTAAAGGCTTCATCCTCAAAGGCAGCACCTTTTGACAGTCTCATATGGCAGAAGTAGCCTGATGTTGTGATATATTGTGGACCCTAATAAACTTGCCTGAGGATCAGAGGACAGAGCCAGCCACTAGATTAGACATAGAGGCCAAGCAATGGTGGCACACACCTTTAATCCCAGCACTTGAGATCTCATGCCTTTGCTTGGGAAGGACACATGCCTTTAATCCCAGGAAGTGATATGGCAGGGCAGAGAAAGGTATATAAGGCATGAGGACACAGTAACTCACTCTCTTTAGGTTGAGGATTTCACAGAGGTAAGAACTAGTGGCTGGCTGCTCTGCTTCTCTGATCTTTCAGCTTTCACTCTGATATCTGGCTCTGGGTTTTTTATTAAAAGACCATCTAAGATTTGAACATCAGCCTGACAACTTTTAATGACATATGCGAAGGAAAGTTCCCAGAAAAAAAAAAAAAAACCCTCCCCAGTGGACTTTCTGCAAGGCCGATTAGCTGATTAGAACTTTAATGACTGTGGAGAGGTTGGGAAATTATAGATCTAGAGTCAAATAACAATTTATCTTGGTCTATCTTTAACCTCCTAAATAGCCATTTCTTGTCCACCTCTGTGTCAGACCTAACATTTTGTGACTAACAGATAAAAATCTTTGGAATGTATTAGCTTAGCAGAACATTAGCTTCCATCAACCAAAAGCTAAGAGAGTCATGAGATAGTATCTGAGGGCTCTAACAGAGGTTTCCCCATTCTGTTATAACTGCTTCTCTGATGTTTCCATCAATGTACTTATGTTGATTTATGACTTTCTTTGTTCTGTTACTACAAAATCTTCATGAAATCACTTCCACATTGGAGCATGGAATTTAAAGTGGTATAAATCTGTGTTCCTGGGCCATGATCTAGTGATATGTATCTATCTGGCTCCAGACTAAACTATTATCGCCTTTGAGGTGAGGGTTTTGTTTTTGCATTTATACATATAATGGTACTTATCCCATTCCTGGAGGCTTCTCCATTATGATTTAATCACTTTCTCAAAGGATTCATCTCTCAAAGCTATTACAATGGATATTAGGCTGTAAAATATGAATTTGGATCTGAGGAGGACACAAATATCTAGACCATGGCAATGACCATCTATTTGAGGACTGACAGAGTTTTCTTAGCATATGGACTTTTTTTTTTTTTTAGACTGGGGTGGTTGGTCACTCTAAAAATGACCACCCCCTCTTTTTCTATTTCTCTGTCTTCTTACCCATTTCCAAAGTCTTCAAAGTCACTTAACCATTCATGACTTCATTGCATAGTAGAAACAAAGTTTGAGAAAAAAAGGGTTTCTTCCAAATATTTTCAAAATACTTAATACTTTTCCCAAATGCAGAGGCACTTTTTGTTCTGAATGAGTTTGCATGCTAGGAGATCTCTTCCTCAGTTTAAAGTGTTGTGTTGTGATAGCTGTAGCTTCCACTTTAATCCTACTTGCTATCACCAAGTTATAATAGACAAATGTTACACCATCACACCTCTTTATTCGTCCACACCACGGTATGAATGGATCTGTTTATGTAACAGGGTTTGCTTCACCTGAATCAATTCTAAAGGTTTCTTTTGCCATTCATTCCCTGAGAAAGAACAACTCAGTGGGCTTTACAGCAGATTCTTGACCAGGATTTGGAAAGTCATATAAAATGTGCTTTTTGATGCCCAATTAAAATATCACATAATAATCTGCATCTGCAATACAATTACACTAATAAAATCATATTTAACATCTTGGCTTTGACCTAATTATTCTTTTGTTTCAGTTGACGATGTCAAAATGAATCACTCAGGCAAGTATGAAAAAAATCAGTGAACTTTATGTTTGTTTATCCATGGAATTATGTATATAAAATTACTCATCACTTTATGCTATATTTAGCTCCTGCATTTTAATGTCCCTGATTACAGAAAAATCGATGTGTTAGTAATTCTGGAAGGAAAGTAAATGCAACATTTGGCTATAGTAATGGAAATAGGAATCATTAAAAGTTTGAACCTGTTTTTTTTCTTTCTTTCTTTTATTATAGGTTAGCATCACTGACATTTCTATAACATGAATGTGTAGGCTCACGATTCTGCCCTGCTTTGGCCCACAGAAAGTTCTTTCTCTACCAGATAAGGCATAAGAACTGTGCATCAGCCTTTGTGAAAGGGCATAATGAGGTACAGGTGAATGAGCATGTCACCTACCTGACCAGGTCGATGACCCTCTCTCTTGGTGCAGCACTGACTGGTTCATCATTAATCATTACAATCTGATCTCCTGGGATCAGCTTGCCTTCTGAGGGGCCACCTGGAAACAGACAAGAGAAAAACAGACAAGTTAGAATTCCTTTGGCCACTCATCTGATTTTCCTTCTCTCCTTCACAGCTCATTTTAAGCAAATGATGCTTTCAGCAAAAACAAAACCCAATAATACCAGGGTGTTCTTTGGGACTACATGAGGACCAGGTTGCACTCTGATTTGTCCCAGAGATCTGATTTGATCTCTGGGAGTGGGACTTTGGCCTTCATGGTTCTCTAAAACTTCAACAGCAAGACAATACTAGACTATCAGTGCTTCCCACATATCTCCCCCTTTCTTTTATTTTATGTGTGTGGGTGTTTTGTTTACATTTATGTTTGTTTTTTTTTTCTTTTTTGGTTTTTCGAGACAGGGTTTCTCCATGTAGCTTTGCGCCTTTCCTGGAACTCACTTGGTAGCCCAGGCTGGCCTCGAACTCACAGAGATCCGCCTGGCTCTGCCTCCCAAGTGCTGGGATTAAAGGCGTGCGCCACCACCGCCCGGCTACATTTATGTTTGTACACCACAGGTGTGCAGTACTTTCAGAGGCCAGAAAAGGGAATCAGATCTCCCTAGAGTTATAGATAGCTGTGAAATGCTGTGTGGGTTCTGGGGATCAAACCCAGGACTCCTAAACATCAGCAAGTGCTCTTAACTTCTGAGCCATCTCTCCAGCTGCCATTTGTGTGATTCTTGAGGAAGAAAGGGATGAGAGTCAAGATATGTCCTCACAATTTAGTAACAAACCAGGCATGGTTCGGTTTAAACAAAATTGCATGCATTTGCTCAAGTATGGAGACAGCACACTCAACCAAAGGGTATTAGAAAAGACTTCTTATAAAACTTGGCTGTGTGTTAAATACTGTTGGGGCAGGTTAAATGAAGTGGGAGGTCGTCTGTAGATTTGATGCTGGCTGGAAGTGGGAGTAGTTTCATCATAAACATCTAAATGATTGCTTATGAGGTTAAATGAAGGACCCATGGGGCTGGGGAGATGGTTCAGTGGTTCAGCGCATTGGCTCAATTCCTAGCTGGTATGAGGAGGCTTATAGCTGTCTGTAATTTTAGTCCCAAGGGATCCAATGCTCTCTTCTGGACTCCTCCAAGGGCACCAGGCACATAGGTAGCACACAGACAGACATGCAGGCAAACACATATACATGTAAAATAATAAATAAAATAAAATAAATGAAGGAAGCATACCTAGGTGTGATTAAGATTTTTAAAAATGAATTTATCCCTATGCCAGCTAGTAGAGGGTATGGTTGGTCAAATTTGTGACTTTAAGTGTGCTTGGATGTGTCTATGCTTACAGGCCCTGATCCATCATGGTTAGTGTTATTGTCTGTTGTTGACATTTGGCCAAATTATTTATGATCAACACAACAGCCAGACCCAAATGTGATGGCCTGATAGTCCTGGATGGCAGAGGGTGTTTCACTTTTTCAGTTGGATTCCTAAGGAGGGAGTAGGAAACTAATGTTTCTTGGACAGTTATGATGACCTGGGCTATGAGTGTAATGCTTTACTTGGTAACCTCACTGAATATTCCTCTGATTCCCAGCACAAAATGAGAGAACTAAGTTCAGCAGTAAAAGAAGGGGCCTGAAGGTACAATTGTATCAGGATGCATCCAAGTTCAGAGTGGCTAACTTCCCTTTTGAACTTGTTCTCACAAAGCAAGACTTAAAGCCACATCTGTGTGACATACACAGCTTTTTTTAAAATATAAAAACCTAAGCAATTACTCAGATTATTCAACTATTTGAATTATTCTCACATGTTCACCTGGGTATAGTTACCTCCAAAATACTGACATGTGTCTATCTGGTACTATATAATTTTCACCATATTTCCAGAGACATAGCACTGGGTTATAGGTGTTGTCAGAATGCTATCTTTCTAATAAGCTCACTACTCCTTTGTTTAACAATCAAAATCAATGTTTCATGATCAAGAAACTGAAAGTAATTTGGCTGTTCTCCAGTCACTGAGACACTTGGTATATGTGCCACTCGATGTGGATCATCAATTTATCTTACTGGGGAGTGAGAGAATAGGGAATGGTAACAAGCACCCATGTAAGTGATAAGAAGCATTCATTTTGTAGATCTGAGAACTGAGAATCAGTGTTTGCACACAAGGAGTTCAGAAAGAGCACTTGAGAAACCTATTCCAACTGTCAGACTATGTGCAAACAGCCGCACCTATTCAGTGAAGCAAATGGTTACAAATCAAATGCTGGTTAAACACAGAAACAATTTCAGAGAAGCTGTTTGAAGGGTGGATATGAATTGTTCAGGTGAGAACACCACTCTCAACCAATTGGACATAGTCTTGAGTTTCACCTATTGGTTTTATGTTTGTTTGATGAGATCAAGTCTTGCTCCATCGCCCAAACTGGCCTGGAACACACTATGCAGCCCAGAATGGCCCTGAATTTACAGTTATACTCCTAAATCAGTCCCTTGAGTTCTGATAGTACTGGCATGGTTTATGCTTTAGATAAAATGGGAATATTCTTGGTTAATCAAGCAATTTGAATCAAGAATTCTGGAAGAGGCAACAAAAATCCTTCCAAAATATGAAATAATTGCCTTCTCCAGAGAATTGTATCATGTCCTTTGCAGTGATGTCTGGCTTGTGTCCTATAGAAAATCTGGTCACATTGCTGAAATCACCTGGGACTTGAGTAGAGTCACTTTGATGATAGTTTATTTGACCAAAATTTTCACTTACAAAAATAACCAGGAGAAGGACTCTTTGACCTGTTTTCACTTCTTTTTTACTCTCCTCAAAAATGTTTGACATTAAGTGTTATAGTGTCTCTGAAGCTAAGAAGAGTTCAGGACACAGAAAGGCAGAAGGTGGGAAGATTCTGATGCTTACAATGTCTGCTTGTGCAAGTACAGAATTCTGTCTGTGCTGTAGGTCCTCCTCATCTATGGGAATGCTGGTTTCCAGGAGAATGAGTTCAGGAGTTCTTTTAGCTTTCCTTTCTATAGTACCACACTGTGTGTGTGTGTGTGTGTGTGTGTGTGTGTGTGTGTGTGTGTGTATCTGTTTGTGTATGTGTATCTATGTCTGTGTATCTATGTGTGTATCTGTGTGTATGTTCATGAGTACATGGGTCTATATTGTAAAACATAAGAAGAAGCACCCAAATTTGGAAAGGATAATCCTCAATGATTTCACAGCATTCACAGAGTCCTAAAATACAATTCACATCCAATAAATTACAAAGCTATGAAGACAGAGTAAGGAACTATGTGGTTGGATAGCTTGGAATGAAAATGCTCTTCTCAGACCCAGTACAAGGTACTCAGTTGTATTTGTAGTGCTTGCCTCAGGCAGGTTATGTCAAAATAATGAAAAATTAAAAATTTAATTAACTTAAAAAATCTATATCACCTCACTAGTCAACTTCTGTTTCCCTTCGTTGCCTGACTAAAAGGCCAAACACTTGAGAATTCAACAACAATAATAATTCAGAAATTGTGGACACATACATCTCTATGTACCTCCCACAGCTTTCTAAGTTAGATGCTATGAAGATCTCCATAACATGGATAACATAGAAAAGCTACATTCAACTTAAATGCAAGGGCTGCATGTGGATATTACAAATATCCTAATGAGGGCCAGAGACAGAACTCAAATTTGGATAGTATAATGGCAGAATCTATGCTCTTTCCTAAATGACACTTCTAAGTTTTGTGTGAATGTGTATGGTGCATGTATGTGTATTGTAGGTATGTATGCATGTGTATGTGTTTGCATACATATGGAAGCCAGGAGTTGATACCTAGTATCTTCTTCCATCATTGCCCACCTAAGTCTTCAAGACAGGGTCATTCACTGAACCTGGATATCTTCTAGTTGGCCAATAAGCCCTTGGGGTCCACTCCACTCCTACCCTAGAGCTAGAGTTACAATGTGTGCCACCATGCTTTGCGTTACAGTCAAACTTTTAAATGGCTATTGGGGATCTGAGCTCAGTCTCTCTTGCTTGTGCAGCATATACTTTACTCACAAAGCCATTTTCCTAGCCTCCAGAATCATCTTATTATGTGAGGACTTCACTATTGTGTTCTGTTACTGTTTTGTAAAATGTTCAGAGCAATGACAGAGGAAAAAGGTGTCTTTTGTCTAAAAACAGGTCCATGTTCATTACAGTAAAGACATAAATGTACATAATAAATAAATAACTAAAAGTGATTGTTTCTGGAAAAGCAAAGTCAGTCTACTGTGTTGATAGTGGGGCTGTATATCCTCGGATGAGTAATTGAGATAGTTCAGTTGTCTATTGTCTAATATATATATAGTCTATTGTCATATTATAGAATTGAAGAGATGTGACATGTACCAGTTAGCATCTGTTGTGTAACCGACCATTCCAATAGTTGTTTCTTCACACATTTGTGAATCGTTAGGATGATTCAAGCCTGGATTAGCTGAGCATATCTGCTTCCAATTACAGACTGGGTTAGACTGAGCTGCAGGGTTCAGGTTAGTTGGGTGCTGCCCCAGGAGTTTATTCCAGAGTTAAGGCTGAAGGAGTAGCAGCCTCTCTGGAAAAACTTCCCTTCTTATGGCTATGGCAGAGTTCAACAATACACATGCACCCCAACCTTCTGCTTTGGTCATATTGACAAATGTGTCATTGGCCAAAGTCATTTACTTGGTCCATGCCAACAACAATGGGGCAGGAAAATTGCCTACCTCTAGTGAGAAGTAAAGGATGTATTTAACAATTCAACTGTCCCACGACTAAATAATACTATAACTTGTGCCCCCTAATAAACCTATCTGGGGTCAGAGAACAGAACAGCCATTAGATAGACATAGAGGCCAGAAAATGGTGGCATACACATCTTTAATTGTAGCCTTCTGGAGGCAGAGATCCATCCAAATCTCTGTGAGTTCAAAGCTACATTGGAAACAACCAGGCAGTGGTGGCACACACCTTTAATCCCAGCACTTGAGATCTCATGTCTTTTCTTGGGAAAGACACATGCCTTTAATCCCAGGAAGTTATGGCAAGAAGCAGAAAGGTATATTAAGGCATGAGGACCAGGAACTAGAAGCTTTTAAATTTTTATAATTTTTAGCAGCAGTACAGCTGAGATCCATTCAAATGAGGACTCAGAGTCTTTCAGTCTGAGGAAACAAGATCAGCTGAGGAATTGGCAAGGTGAGGTTGGCTGTGGCTTGTTCTGTTTCTCTGATCTTTCAGCGTTCACCCCAATACCTGGCTCTGGGTTTGTTTTCATTAATAAACCTAACAATTCGTGTTCCAGTTGGCATTCTCTCTGGGTATGGGAAAGTGTCACTTACGCTTCACAGCCTGAGCACTCACAGAACTGTACAGAAGCTATTCTAACCAGGTGTGGCAGGTAGCCTGTTGGAAGACTAGAGAGGGTTTGGATCCTTACCTGGTGTCACTGAGCGAACAACCACAGGCTTTTCACTCCCTGCCACGAACCCAAAGCCCAGAACAGGGTCTCTCCTCATCTCCACCTTCCGTGGAGCTGGAGGGATGATTTGGCAGCTGTCAAACCGAGGGTCATCATATGGGATTGCCTGTGTCATGTGACTGTAGAAAAAAAATAAAGACGAGAAGAGAGATATCAAGGTGGGGGTTGGGCACTGGCCTTGAAACCACATACTTTCCAGTTTGAAACCTATTGTCTCTGGTAGAGAGTGGGAAAGATCTAGAGACTCAAGGTCATCTTTCATGGTCTATATATTGTTCCTTGGGAACTCTGTAATGCCCGTGTTAGGGCTTTGTATGGACCATTCATCCAATGTGGAATGCTTGTCCTGCAAATATCTGCAGGCCTCACCTCTGCCTCTGTCAAACTTCTGTTCACATATCATCATCTTATAAAAGACTACCTTGGAATACTATTTCAATATGGTTTTTCTAGTTCCCCATGTCACCAAACCACTTCACATTTTTTAATTTTCTCCCTCTACCATGGCACTACTTACATACAAACATACTACAAAAGCATATATTTTTATGATGATTTTTACTGCTTTGCTCTCCACAACAAAATGTACAGTCTTTAAGGACAAAATACTTAGTCGTTGTGTGTGTATAGCTGGGGGTGAAACTCAGGGCCTCATGCATGTTAGATAAAGGTTATATCATTGAACTAAAGCCCTAGTCTTATCAACTTAATTATATTTACTGATTTATTTTAGGACCTAGAACTGTGTCTGACCCACAGAAGGCTCAACAATAAATTGAATTAATAAGCAGGGGCAAAGTTACTTCTTTGTACAACACCATCAAGTTATAGATGAAATGCTGATCTACAGTCTCGTAAAGTAACATTTAGTTGACAGGTAGGATATAGGACACTTGAACCTAGCAAAATTAAAATAATATGGGTAATTTTAGTGGTGATGGGCTATCCTGGTACCAAATACATTCTCCATTCCAAAAAAACTGTTAATTTAGATCTTGGCATTTACTTTAAGGAAAAAGATTTGAATGATTTAAATGAACTTTCTCATTAACACCTCCATTTATGAAGTTTAAGCAACAATTCAAAATTGATTATTCTATAACATTTCAGTGGTGCAGCCCCTGATAAATTGCCATTGTTCCAATAAATAGCCTTCTACTCACACATGGGCAAGAAACTCTAACTAAACTCAGAGACTATGAAGAAAGAAGACATGAAAGTCGAAGGGGAAATTAAGAAAAAATGGTTCCAACAGGAGCAGGAGGGGGGATGAGAGAGAGAATAGGAGATGAAAAGGACTAAAATTCATTATATAAATGTATAAAACTGTCAATAATAAGTAACACTTAAAAATTCAAAATGCAGCCAGGCGGTGGTGGCTCACGCCTTTAATCCCAGCACTCAGTAGGTAGAAGCAGACAGATCTCTTGAGTTCGAGGACAGCTTGATGTAGAGTGAGGTCCAGGTCAGCAAGAGCTACACATAGAAACCCTGTCTCAAAACAAACAAACAAACGAAAAACAAAACAAATCAAACAAACAAACAAACAAACAAACAAAAACCCTCAAAATGCTTTTGGCTCAGAGTCCTGCCACAGAATTGGGGAATAGAGCAGTCATTGACATCACATTTGTCAACAAGGAACTTAAGATCAAAATCATAAAGTATCATCACTCAAGGCTCCATGGCCAATAGGCCAGATAATCTGGTCAAGGACCAACTCCTACAACTCCTAGTGAAGGCTTCATGCATGGCAATTGTCCAAGGCAGCTTTCTTTTAAGGAAGAGTTGTTTGCTGAACACCAGCAATCTCCTTCAAGAAACGCTAGCTCAGATGACGTAAGTGACTGACATGTGCTTAATTCAACTCAATTTTATTTTACACTTATTTAATTATTCTGTGTGTGTGTGTGTGTGTGTGTGTGTGTGTGTGTGTGTGTGTGTGTGTGTGCATGTGTGTTTGTGCACCATGATGTACATGTGTTGGTCAGAAGACAACTTGCAAGAGTTGATTCTCTTCATCTGCCATGAGTGTCCTGAGGAACAAACTCAGGTCATCATGCTTGGCAGCACGTACTTTTATCTGCTGAGTCATCTCTCCAATCCTCAATTCACCTTAAAATATTTTTCTTTAATAAGTAAGAGAACATAATTTTAAAATACCTTGGATGCTGCTGTTCTATATGCCATCTGGATAACATACTGTCCAAATGGAATAAAGAAAGACGGGGAAGGAGGAAGCATGCTGTTCTTCAGTACAATTAATAAGAGTTAGGGAAGATCAGCAGAAACCCTCTGGGATCTGTCTCTTAAACATATATCTGTGCTAGGAAAACACAATTTTAAAAATCCCCTTTAAACAGAATGTAACTGCTTGAGACATGGAACACTAGAAGAAACGGAATGGATAAATGTGTTATATGCTTTGTACTAAGGCTCATCTGTTTCCTGATTTAACACTTGAAGACCTTTCGGTGATGGAAGCTGTTTGACCCTCTTCACAGGCTTTTTGCAAAAGCAATGACAGGAAAACAACTGAATACAAGAAAGGGGCCATGATAGTGTGTGATCTAGACACCAGGAAAAGAAGACACAAATGATTTGGTTGGCATCTCTTATAGTATCCATTGGCAATTAAATTGGAACATTTTAAGAATCTGTGACTTGATTAGCATCTTCTAAGGAAGCAATCAAGCAACAGTATTTAAAGTTTCAATATATCATTCATTCAACAACTCTTAAATTATAATTTAATAACATGACAGTTATTGAACATAAATTTCATACTAAGCATTGCTTATTCTAAATGCTTTCCATATGTTAGTTTGCTTAATCCTTCAAGACAACTCCACAATACTCTCATTTATTCATTTAGTCAATTTATTAAATACCCACTGGGTTCTCCAGTCTGGGAATACAAAAGGAAAGAAAGCAGATAAAAATAAAATATTCATACTAGGTTATGGTTAATGCCAAAGAGAGAATCAGCACAGGGAGGGTAGGCAGACAGCTGTTGAATGAGGATGCTGCAAAACGTTCTATCAGGGGCCAGGTCAACATCTGGATGAGGTGTACTCAGGACACAGGGACCATGAAGTGCAACTATCTCAAGGTACAACGTGCTTCATGAGAAGGGAACATGTCTGGCAACATGTAGAGACCAGTGAGAGGTAGACTGGGGATTTGGAGCAGTGATGGGGGAGTAGAAGAATGATGGTAGCAATTCTATAGAGATTGCACAGGCTCATGCTTCTACTTGGTCTTTTGTTCTGACTAAACCAGGGAGCCAAAGGAAAGTTTGAATGTCAGCAATGTACTCAGCTGCTGTGTTGACAACAGAAAGGATAGTACATGGGAAAAGAGAACCCAGGGGCCATGATACCCCTTCTGACATATCATGATGGCTCACACTGGGGTGAGAGTGACAGAGATGGCAGAAATTGTAGGGCTTTTAATACTGTTGGGAGCCATTCTGATGGAGAAAGGGTCAGCCTCTCACTCTGGAACCTTTCTCCTGCACAGACATTCTCTCCACAAGAATGGACCATGTGTACAGGTCCTGATACAGCTATACTATCGGAAACATGTCTCCTTCCTGTTTAATTAGGAAACAGGTGCTTAGGTCTAAGGTGGACATGAAAACCAGCATGGTTGTTTGTAGTAATACTTTGAAGCCAGATGACATAGCTTTGGGTTCTAATCCCACAGAGGCCTAGCAGTATGACCTGCTTCCTTACTTCATGCATCATTTTGAAACCGATGACAGTAATTATAACAATCTCATTAAAGAGCTGTGGAAAGCAAACAAGACACAAAAAACGCTTACAAAATATTGGGCACATAGTAAGTACTCAGAAAACAATAGCTTTTATTTTTATCTCTGAAGACCAATGAATAGAAGGCAATGAATTTCTGACATGATGAAAGCATTTCATTGTAAAATCTGAAAAACAACTGTGCTGGATAGTTTTATATTAACTTGATACAAGTTAGGGTCATTTTGGAAGAGAGAGCAGTAGTGGAGCAATACAGCCCCACAGAGACACTGCTGACAAGAGAAAGCAGTGTCTAAGAAACAGAGGCTCCCACCCAAACACTTTACAGACTCAATCAAATGCATATTTTCTGTTTGCTGCAAGTTTTAGCATTTGGTATTTATTAAAGATTTTTGATCCTCTTTGTTTTGCTTGTATGTTGAGGAAAAGCTTCTGATAGAATTACCATTTTCTTACTTATTAGGTTATATTTTTAGATTTTAATGATCTAAAAGTTATCAGTTTTTCTTTTTTAGTAGACATATCTGCACTAAAGTATCCCCATACCATGAAATGTCAATCTGATCTTTGTAGTAAATCAAAATTGAGGGAACCTGAACTTGCAAGATTTTTTTTTTTTTTTGGTGAGGATGGTTGAGAGTTTTTATAAGGTGCTAAAAAGCCACATCTTTTCACCTCTTGAACATGCTTCAGTAAATTCTAATGCTGAGACTAGAAGAATACAAGTGATGCGCTACATAAACCTTCATTCCTGCCCCAACGTCCTCCAGCAAACACATATAGATAAGTCAGGAATCTATGACCTGAAAATAGAGGCTAATAATTGAGGTGGAAAATGGGCTCATCAGGATTAACTGAACAATCTTGCTATTTCTTGGGGATTTCATTTCTAAGGGGACAGTGGGACTCTTGCTACTTGGTTTCCCACGACAAAAGGAAAGGAATTTTCTTGAATTCTTGGAGCTTTTGCTCCTCAGCAACAATAAAAAAAATCACAAAAAATGCATTGACTGGAAGAAAGCATACTGGAAGAAAACCTATAATCTTTTCTTGGACTTGATAAACCCATTAGAATCAGCAAGATCCTTTTGTTGAAAATGTGCTGAGATGGGAAATTCTAGAAGGGAGAACCAAATTTAGAAACATCACCTTTGGTGTGAACATTAAGGTATCTGACCAGGCATGTGATGGTTGGTCACCCGGGAGGTTAAGACATGAACCAAAATGGATATAAATAAGCATCTATGCCTGAGTTTAGCCCAATGAGATCACTTTAGTACCAAGAAAATCCAGTGGAGACTTCAGGCGAGTACCAGTCACGAGCATTTGTATTCTGTTCCCAT